ATTGTTTAAATTTGGTTTTGTCATGGAATACCTTGTTTTCTCCTTCTATGACTATTGAAAGCTTTGCTACAGTAGTCTAGCTGACATCTGTGGTCTCTTAGTGTCTGCAGGACATCTGCCCAGACCCTTCTGGCTTTCATAGTCTGTGTTGAGAAGTTAGGTCTGATTCTGATGGGTCTATCTTTATATATTACTTGGCCTTTCTGCTTTTAATATTTTTGTGTTCTATAGATTTAGTGTTTTGATTACTATGTGGTGGGAAGAATTTCTTTTCAGGTCTAGTCTATTTGGTGTTCTGTAAGCCTCTTGTATGTTTAAAGACATGTCTTTCTTTACATTGGGGAAGTTTTCTTCTATGATTTTCTTGAAAATATTTTCTGGTTCTTGAAGCCTAGAATCTTCTTTTCATTAATTCCTATTATTCTTAGATTTTGATTTCTTGGATGTTTAATGTCAGGATTTTTTTATTTAATATTTTCTTTGATAGATGTATCAATTTCTTTAATTGTATCTTCTAGGCCTGAAAGTCTTTCCTCCATCTCTTGTATTGTGTTGGTGATGCTTGCCTCTGTGGTTCCTGTTCTCTTCTCTAAGTTTTTCCAGCTGTAGATTTTTCCCAGTTTGTGTTTTCTTTATTGATTCTATTCCAGTGTTCAGGTCTTGAACAGTTTTATTCATTTTCTTTATCTGTTTGATTGTGTTTTCCTATACATCTTTGATGGCCTCTATTTGTTTGATTGTATTTTCCTGTATTTATTTGAGGAATTTATTTGTTTTCTTTTTAAATGCCTCTAGCAATTTCATAAGCTTAGACTGAAGGTCATTTTTCTCTGTTTCAGCTGTATTAGACCATCCAGTGTTTTGGGGGGTTCTGTTGGAGCCATGTTGCCCTGGTTTTTGTTGATTGTGTTCTTATGCTGGCCTTTAGCCGTCTGGTTGTCCATGGCATTGGCTGTACCCTTCCCCCGCCCCCCGAAACTGCTGGTTATCATGGGCCTTTGTGATCCAATTAGGCCCTGCTGTTCTCCTCTATACAGCTAATAGAGCTGAACCGAAGGCTGGATCCACACGTCTCTGGAGTCTTCAGGATAGTGGGAGAAGAGGAAGATGAACATGTGCTGCTGTTTCAGAGTCAGCCCCTGTATGACTTGCTGGCCAAGCAGACACTGTGCTCCCTATACTCAGATTCAGCTGGGCTCTGCCATCTTGGAACCAGGATCCTAAATACTCCTATTGTCCAGCTGGTCTCCACACAGGGACCAGTAGAACTGTGGATTGGAATTTGGCATGCTGTCCCTGGTATCCCAGCACTGCCCTAGGGAAGTGGGAGGAATTTGAGTGCCCCTGAAACTGGGCACCTGCCCTCAAGTAGGCGGAAAGTGCAGGAGGCTTACCGTGGACCTGGGAGATGGCCACAGAGGGCTTGGAACTGTGCATCCCTAGCTCTAGGGATGTCCTCTCCAGTCTGGGAAACGCTGACATTGGTGTTTTGGAGTCAGCAGTCGGGTTACTCACTGGATTCACAGTCTCTGATCTTCTGCCACTCAGATACGGTATACACTGGCCGCTTCCATCTTGGAAGTCCCTCTTTCTGTAATTTTTAAAAGATTTTTTTTTCCTTATGGTAAATGGAGATAATTATTTTTCTTTGGTTACATTTTTATCAGTTGAGTCTATGTAGCTAGTCAAGAAGAAAACTGTTCAGTATGATTTCGGTAATGCATTGGTTTCATTTCTCATTGCTGTGTTAAAATGCCCTTAGTGAAGAAAGGACTTATTTTACCTCACAATTCCATCTAGTGCAGAAGTCACAGCAGTAGATCCTTGAGAGAACTGGTTACATTATAATATGTACAGTCAAAAGCAGAGCACAGTGCAGTAATACGCACATTTTCACTCAATTTGCTTTCTTTACTTTTACATAGTTTAAGACCCAGTGTGGAGGGAATGGTGGTCCCAACAATGGGTGTGTCTCCTTACATTAGTTAACATAATTAGGTCCATCCCCTAGAGATGTGCCCAGAGGCTGAACTGATTTAAATAATCCCTTACTGAGTCTCCCTTCCTAGGTAATAAACTGTGTCAAGATGACAATGAAAACTAACCACCGCAGGTGGAAATTTACATTTTATTTGGAAAATAACCCCATACTGAGATCATCATAGCATCCTCAGATACACAAGGATCAAGTGAACAGGGTGCTTGAGACCATAGAAAAAGAGTGGATATTTTTAGGATAGAGTTTGAACAGTGATATGCTGGAACCCTGGATCACTGAGGGGAGACGGTGGAAGCTCTAAGAGGACAGATCTAGTTGGAGGTGATAAGGTCATGAGCACAGAGTCCTTGACATGGGTTAATCTCCATCTCTGAGGGTGACTTAGGTCTTGAGAGCTGGGTGCTGTAAGGTGAGGGTGAGTTTTAAAGATGACTTTTACTGTTACAGAGAGAAATCTTAAAAGAAGAACGATTAAATACCCACAGCAGAAAGCAGAGCTCCAAAGCCTTGTTCTAGAGGAGGCTCCACAGAGGGCCTTCAGAGGACTTAGGGATGCTGGCCAGGACTGAGGTAGCTTCTGGAAGATTGGTTGATTCTCTGAATCTCTTACAAATTGAGCCAGGGGAGGGCCCACATGCTTCATATGTGCACCCCTGACCTCAACCAGGGAGGCAGATGATCACAGGTGTTTATGGCTACTCACTCAGGTGGGAGGGTGGTCATGTTTGCCTGTTCCCCCGTCCACCTTTAACTTGCCTTGCTAGACATTGACTTTGACGGAGTTGGCCATTACCCAGAGCTGTTGTTTGCTACTCTCTGACATTGAATGTGTTGCTACTCTCTGATGTTGGTGGGTTTATAGACATTAATTACACTAAGTTCTCTTGTTTATAGAACCAGCTTATAGTTTAACCTTGGGGCTAACTCTTATCGCAGCTTCCAAGGGGTAGCAATCTTTGTCTATTGCTTTACATCTAGCTCCTTGTCTGTGGTGTGGTCTCATTTCTAGAATAGGTGGAAGTGTCTTATTAGAAGTGGTTCTTACAATTAAGTCAATGGCAAGGAAGACATGACCCACCAGGGAACCTCACCTCAAGGAGGCTGGGATGTAGAGAGGTTATGTCTGCACATCCAGGTTCCTAGATGATGGAATGGGTCTTTTTGCTTAGTTAATCCTTTTTGGAAGCACCCTCCAAGACACATCCAGAGGTGTCCTTTGGTATCCCAGGTGATTCTCCATTATCAAGTTGACACTCAAGGTTGCACGTGATGAAGGTCCTCACTGTGCTCTGCTGAGCCTCAGGCACCACTGCAGTCAAGCTGTGGGGAAGGGCTGCTCTCCAAACCAACCCAGAGCAGTCCATTCAGTACACACCCAGGCCCTCTCCCATCTGCTTAGCTAGTTCTTTCAGCGGTACAAGATGTAGTGGTAGTTGCTGGCAGTGGTAGTGGAGTTCACAAGTTCATTTCCTCTCCTTTCCTCTCCTCTCCTCTCCTCTCCTCTCCTCTCCTCTCCTCTCCTCTC